ATGTGGCATTTCGCCCCATGAATAAAATAAATAAAAAGTGAATGCAAAAATATATTCATTGTTTTAATGAAATAAGTGCAATAGAGTGCTGCAGCTGTGACATGAAAACCCATAATTTTGCCATGGCTTCCTTTATGATTTTGCTATGAATTTTTAAAATGGGTTTTCAGTTCATGAGTAAAATAAGCTCTGTGGTAAACATCACTTGGTATACTTGGACGTTATGCTCTATAACATAAATTACGCACACTCAAACGTTCTGATGTAGTTACCTATGCAGGGTTTCTCTTGGTATTAAAAAAAGTCTTAATATTCCCTTCCACAAATTAAGGCCTTAAAGGTCTTAAATTGGCGAGGAAAGACTTCAGTTCATAAAGTCATGGCATTAAATGTTGCATGCACTGCAAAAATTAAACCTCTTTGTCAGTATTTTTGTCTTGTTTCCAATTCAAATATCTAAACATCCTTAACAGAAGATAAATTTACTTGAGATGCAAATTAAGATATGTGTGTTCAAGATAAATTAAGATAAGACAGATAAGCTCATTGGCAGATATTTGCCTTTTTTTAATGTACAAATGTTATACATTCACTTCATTTAGATGAATTTTCCAGAAAACAAGACTTCTTATATAATTTTTGTATTTTGATTTAAGAGATTTTTAGACATTTGATTCTAGTCAAGCAGTTTATTTTGTAAAATTAATTAAAAGTAATGGAGATTGGTTTGGAAGTCGTGCTGCTAATGTGACTCATTGTGTTCTCCTTAAACATTAACGTTTAGAGAACATTTTAATGTGCTGTGTTCCTCTTTAATGTATTCCTTACATTTTCTTTAAATGATATTTGAAAGTTTTTAATTTATCATCATAAACTTGCAGAAACCCTGCTATTACAAACATACATTTTGAAAAATTAACCTAACCGATTCAAAATTTACGTTCTAGAATGGGATTGTGTCATTTATTTATAGATCAAAATGTCAAAGTATCATTCATTTATATTTACCACAGACCTTGTTCGACTCATAAATTGAAATGTATAATAAATTGAAATAAATTGAAAAACCCATAGGAAAACCTTCATGGCCCAATTAGTCTTCAGGTTTTGACATCACAGAATTTGGCTTTGAATATTTAATCATGCTGAAAATTTAGTTCAGACAAAAATAAAAATTTTCATCTACTCACCATTAAACCTGACTTTCTTCTGTTGAACATAACATTTTGAGATCTCTTTTTTCTGTGTATACAAAGGTCACTAAAGAGAGTCACCCAACAGTATTAAAAATATCTCCTTTGTATTCTGCAAAAGAAAGTAAGTCATACAGGTTTGGAATGACGTGAGAGTGAGTAAATGATTACACTTTTTTTTGTTTATTTGTCTTTGACTGACTTGTCCAACAGGGGGCAGCAGATACACATGCATTTTTGGCCCCTCAGTCTGACCTCACATTTTCTTTGATACATGACCTTAAATAGCCTTACTGCCAAATGTGACTTTAGCATTGATTATACAAACTTGTGTAATTTTTTTCCTAGACATTATTAAAAATGATTTTGAAGATTCCTTATGGATACAGCATTGTTTGGAATTAACTAGCAGGTGCATTAAATAGCACTAACTGGACGTTCCTCACATTTTTATTAACACTAAGTTTCCACTGTTTGGTGAAGCTTCAGCTGTCACACTCCTTCAGAGCTGTTTTTCAGTTTGTGACTAATAATAATCTCGCAACTCTAGATACAGCAGGAATCTCGACTACACATGCTGGTAATATTTAACCATTATGACCCAGTTACAGTCTATGGATGGAAAAAAACATACGTGAGCTCACATAGTTCCCTTTCGATACTACACTCGTACTGCGTCTGCTAAGACGCTATGGGAAAAAGCCTTTTTTCTCCTGAACTGAAGCCTTTTTTTCAATCACGCAGTGAAACTGCACGGCCATTGGTTTGTGCAGTGTATAAAAAATGCTCTGCGTGCAGCTCAGCACGAGCCTATGGCGCCAAATCCCGCCAGAATGGACGGGGCATCTGGCTATATAAGCGGGCGTTCGGCACAAGATTCTTTTCAGAGAGCGTCTCCGCCCCTCGCGCCCTCCCGTTTTCTTCCTCCCAGGGACCTGTGATGAAAAACCAGCGGGGCAGAGGACTCGAGCGACCAGCTGCGAGCGAGCTCACGTCGGCCCAGATCCCGCGTGCCTCACCCTCGCCCAAGAGAGAGAGTTCTCCCGTCCTTTTCTCCCAGTCTGATCAGCATCCCTCTGCTGGCGCGAGCGACCTGATCTCATTTGGGGGAAGTAAGGACAAGCTGCTTAATGACAGCATGTCATTAACCGCCTCGGACACAGAGGAGCTGTTGGGCTCGGTGGCTGACCCCACCCCCTCGCCATCGTCCGTGCCCAGCGCTGCCAAAGACGGGATGGATGCCGAGCTTCTCCATATCCTCTCGAAAGCATTCGAAGAGCTGGGTTTAGAGTGGTCTCCACCAGAGGGGCCCTCCTGCAGCCGTCTGGATGAGTGGTTTCTGCCGAGGCGCCGCCAAGCCCCTTCTCAGCGTTTCTCACCGTTCTTCCCGGAGGTCCATGACGAGCTCACCAGATCGAGGCGCGCTCCCTACTCCGCCCGCCTTCGTACTTCTACTTCATCCGCCCTCACTTCCATCGACGGCACTGAAGAGAAGGGGTACAATAAGCTGCCTCCCCTGCATGAGTCTGTGGCCTCATGCACAGCTCTGCGCGCCACCAAGACCACCGCTCAGGTGATCGGGAGATCGATGGCCAGCCTTGTGGTGCTCGAGCGCCATTTATGGCTGACGTTAACAGAGATCAAGGACGCGGATAAAATCCCCTTTCTCGATGCTCCAGTCTCTCGGTCGAAGGATTCGCTGAGCACTTCATGGAGGCACAGAAATCGCCCAAAGCTATGCGACATTTCCTGCCTAAGCGCTCCAGTTCCGCTGCTGCCTCTGGTCGCCCTAAGTCTGCGCCGACTCAGCAACCCGCAAAGCCAG